TAATAAAATGGAAGATGCTCTTGATGAAAGAGATTGTTTTAAAATAGCTGCCCTAAGAACAAACAAAATGACTGAGGGGTTGGAGAAAGAATTAAAGGAAATAGAACAACAGAGAGATGCATATAGTGCTAAGATCACTGAACTCCAAACCTAGTCATGGAAAATAAAATAAAAACTAATGAAAACACAAATAAATGGGATAAGGAGATTCCTAAAGAATGCCCAGGCCAGTCTCATTTTATATCTGAAAGTAAAGAACCAGTGCTGGGAACCAAACACAAGGGAAATGTGCCGATTGTAAATTGTGTCCCACAAGCCCCTATAATAATAACTGAACATTTTAATGTAAGAGAAATGCCTAGTAGCGTCTCTAGACAGACAAGGACTATGTCAATCACAGACAAAGAAAATTTCCAGAAATGGTGGGGAAGTATACCAACTGACGACTTTAACACCTTTACACATTGGTTTATGAGGGGAGCGAATAGAGCAAAAAAAGGAGGTCTTAGCTTAGAAGAATGGACAGAACTGTTAGAATATGCTATGGGTCCTTTGGCTAGCAGACTATTTGGATTTAATTACAGTGTGTCTGATCAGGCAGGAAGAATTGCTGCAACGATTTTCTATCTACTCAGCATAGAGAAAGAAATAGTTAATATTATGATGAGGGCAGCAGATGGTCCTAGAGAGGTAGCTCAAAGGATATTGTTCTGGTATACGCTACGCCAACCTCAACAGCCTCTGGTCTTGGGCTCACCAGAACACATTGCTAAAGTAATGGAAGCCCTTCCCTGGGAGTGTCAAGAATTTGTGAGGCTTTTTGATCCAACACCAGCAGACTTAGAAATGGTACTAACTAGAGCTGACAATTGGTGGATCAAGCATTCTTCCTCAGAACAGGCCTTCTCTGTTTCAAGGTCGACTCTGGTAGAGATATAGATGGTAAATGGAGAAGCCAGAGGTGGGATGTACCCCAGAACAAGAGGGATAATGAGAAATGGAGAACAAAACAGGACTTTGACAAAAGATGGAGAGATCCACAGAGGGACCATAGGAATAGGGACAGTGCTAAAGGAAGTGACCAATCATTGTTAACAGGAGTAGTCCCAGAAGATTGGAAGTTAGCGAATGTTGTGCCCATTTACAAGAAAGGTAATAGGGAGGAGTCGGGCAACTATAGGCCAGCAAGCCTTACTTCAGTAGTGGGGAAAGTGATGGAAACCATGTTAAAGGATAGGATTGTTGAACATCTAAAAACACATGGATTTCAAGATCAGAGACAACATGGGTTTACTTCAGGGAGATCATGCCAAACTAATCTTATTGATTTTTTTGATTGGGTAACTAAAATTATAGATCAGGGTGGTGCAGTAGACATTGCTTACCTAAATTTCAGTAAGGCTTTTGACACTGTTGCACATAGAAGGCTTATCAATAAACTGCAATCTTTAAGTTTGCATTCAAATATTGTTGAATGGGTAAGGCAGTGGCTGAGTGACAGGCAACAGAGGGTTGTAGTTAATGGAATATATTCGAAGCTTGTACTTGTCACCAGTGGGGTACCTCAGGGATCTGTACTTGGTCCCATTCTCTTTTAATATTTTTATTAGTGATATTGCAGAAGGTCTTGATGGTAAGGTATGGCTTTTTGCTGATGATACTAAGATATGTAACAGGGTTGATGTTCCAGGAGGGATAAGCCAAATGACAAATGATTTAGGTAAACTAGAAAAATGGTCAGAATTGTGGCAACTGACATTTAATGTGGATAAGTGCAAGATAATGCATCTTGGACGTAAAAACCCAAGGGCAGAGTACAGAATATTTGATAGAGTCCTAACCTCAACATATGAGGAAAGGGATTTAGGGGTGATTATTTCTGATGACTTAAAGGTAGGCAGACAATGTAATAGAGCAGCAGGAAATGCTAGCAGAATGCTTGGTTGTATAGGGAGAGGTATTAGCAGTAGAAAGAGGGAAGTGCTCATGCCATTGTACAGAACACTGGTGAGACCTCACTTGGAGTATTGTACACAGTACTGGAGACCGTATCTTCAGAAGGATATTGATACCTTAGAGAGAGTTCAGAGAAGGGCTACTAAACTGGTTCATGGATTTGCGGATAAAACTTACCAGGAAAGGTTAAAGGATCTTAACATGTATAGCTTGGAGGAAAGACGAGACAGGGGGGATATGATATAAACATTTAAATATATAAAGGGAATCAACACAGTAAAGGAGGAGACTATATTTAAAAGAAGAAAAACTACCACAACAAGAGGACATAGTCTTAAATTAGAGGGACAAAGGTTTAAAAATAATATCAGGAAGTATTACTTTACTGAGAGGGTAGTGGATGCATGGAATAGCCTTCCAGCTGAAGTGGTAGAGGTTAACACAGTAAAGGAGTTTAAGCATGCGTGGGATAGGCATAAGGCTATCCTAACTATAAGATAAGGCTAGGGACTATTGAAAGTATTTAGAAAATTGGGCAGACTAGATGGGCCAAATGGTTCTTATCTGCCGTCACATTCTATGTTTCTATGTTTCTATGTGATGTAATGGGAGATAATTGGAGAAATAGATGGGAGGGGCCTAAGGTAATCAATAATAATTTGAATAATAAAAATACTTGGGAGAGGCTAAAAAGGACAGATATTAACTGGGAAAATCATAATTGGGGAGAAAAACTGAAAAACAGGAACAGTTATTGGGAGAATAATTGGAGAAGGAACCATAGATGGGATGAGCATGAGACCAATAGACGGAATTGGGATAATTGGAGGAATAAAGAAGGTAATAGAGACTACTGGGACCTAAAGAGACAGACTGAAAGATTGGAGGCAGACGTGAAAGCGCTGAGGGAACAGATGAGAGAGGAGGAAAAGATTGATCAATTGGGGGATCCCAGCAATCAATAACTCTCATAATTTTTTGTTGCTCTCTACATCTGTATGTATGTTTGTTTTTCTTTTGTTTTGTTGTTTCTCTCAGTCTTCCAGTCTCCCATATAGCTATACATTTCTAATGATGAGATCTAGTGTTCCCACAGAGCAAGGCAAAGCTGTATTAGGATGATGATGTGTGTCAACAGAAGATCGTAGTGGATCCTTGTTACAGGATGGATAAGTATAAGCTGTATCACAGTAGGTATGAGGAGACAGGCAATACGGCCAGAAGATACTCCAAATAAGGGAGAAGATTAGAGTCTATATTTTAATAATCCTTCTATTCCTCCAAGGTGTCCGGAACAACGGCGACAGTGTTTTAGGCAAAGCAGGGAGTCGGGGAAAAACGGGACATATTTGCAGCTCTACTGGGAGGAGTCAGAACTGGATTGAGAGTATGGAATTCTGCAAATATCACATCCAGTCCTACAAACTTTGCCTCTAGTACTCATGCTCATAATTACACTATACTTTTGTGTGGCAATGAAATAGACGAGGAAGAAACTAGAAAAGGCGGATATATTTGAAATGTGTTTTTTGGTTTTTTTGTTTCTCTCTCTCTCTCTCTCTCTCTCTCTCTCTCTCTCATCCATTCTTCAATAAAGTTTTACATTGCACACACACTCACCTAAATTCTATAAGTTCTGTTTTTTTTTTATTTTTTGTGTATAATATGTGAATTGACAGCCATAGGAAAATACAGGAGAACTTATGTCGCTGAGGGAACTATTCCGGAGGGACGGTGGGTTGAATTTCTCCGTATATCAGGTTTTTGCTCCCACTAGGTTCTCTTGTACTAGAGGGATAATTAGATAATGGAGCAACATAGAAGAAGAAAAAGTGGGGGAATGTGGGGTGATGCTACCCCATATTTGACCGTTTTCTTTCACCTTGCTTATCTTACTCCCTATAATTCCTGTGCTCCCCTGTCCTACTTCAGATCTCATAGCTGTACCCATTATTAGTATAAATTCCTAATACCGAACGCTTAAAACTCAATTAATTACACTGTATGGCAAGATATAAAAATATTGCCAATACTTTCCAACATCTATAAGTCTTTATCTGCGTTAAATAGCGTACCGCGTAAGATACAGTTTGTTAGCGTCTAGTTTTTAAGTAAATCATAGAATACAAACTATAGTTTGATAAATAAATATTAAGGCTATGTTACTATTAAACAAGGCGGAGTGTTCATCAAGATGGGATAGCCGAACACATTGAATACTTAAAAGCAGTCACTGAGACATAAGATGTCTACTTTTTTCCCCTTATTGAGATGTGTTACTTTAAAACATTTAATTTTTATCTCGCTATATTACACTTCATTTTTGAATATGTGTTTGCTACTGATATGTATTATTTCTGAATACCAGGTCGCCTAAATTAACAGAGCGTAAGGGAGGAACAAAACAAGTATATAATGCATTGTTAAAGCTTTGTTAAATATTTTGAGTTCAAACTAAACTGGTAAAAGTAAAAAAAAAGGCGTATTAGAGATTTAAGGTTGGACTTAGCTAAGGCCGCTCAAGAGCCACTTAAGAGTTGCTTACAGTAAATTTTATGGAAAAGACTTACTTTAAAGCACCTATATTTGATTTTTTGTTTGTTTGTATTATATTTGAGTTATAATTTTTTTATCCCCTTCCTATGTGATATGATTAATTTCTTAATATTAGGAAAATATGTGTTAATAGAGGTTAAGGAAGAAACAATGCACTGCTAAATGCCTTATTTACTACCATAGGTATAAAATATACCGATAAAAGAATAAGTTAAAGCTACTAGGTAGACTAAAAACCTCAAGTGGCTCCAAGCTATAATTATCTTTATCTTACTCCATTAAACTTTACATTAAAATTTAGAGGATTAAGTGATGGCATGCTACAAGGTTGCTTTTAAAGCTTACAGTAACAAAATTTGCATAAGCATAATTATTATTATTTTTTTTTTTTACATTCTTTATTTTTTGAGTTTTTCAAGTCTGGATGGGAGACAGAAAAAAGAGAAAAGGGTGGGGGAGGGAAGGGGGTTGACAATTATCAGGTTACTATGCGTGACATCAACCTTTATAGTGCGTCATTTCTGTTGGTGGTACAGGGCTGCGTTCAGTGTGTTTCCCTAGGTCAATGCATCTTTAACTTGCGGTGTGTCCGCCAGGGTGTTTCTCAGTCGGGGGCATAGGGCGCTGCGCAGGTGTGCCACTTGAGATTTAGGTGGTTTCATGTTATTCAGGGATTTGCGGTTATACTCCATTATTTTTGGTGGGTTGACGCCTTGCTTAGAGGGAGGGCGAAAGCTACATATGTGATCGGTTTTTGAGTGCTCAGTCCAATGGGCATTCAAAGCTCTGGTGATGTCTGGTCTTGGCATGGCACAGCCAAGGGGGAAGGGGGGGGGGAGTCTGAGTCTGGGGTCTAACAGTGGAGTTGGGGTGGGATTAACAATGGGTATATCAGGAATTGCTTGGAGGAGCGAGTTTGGGGGTCAAGTCCGTCTCTGTGCCGTGTAGGTAGTCCAGGGGTACCAGAGGAGGGCACATTTGTCCGAGCGCTCCCGCAGGGACGCAGTCATCATTTCCATATTATGGATTTCCTCCACCTTATCCACCCACTGTGTGTAGGTGGGTACTGTCTGGCTTTTCCAGTGTAGTGGAATGAGGCTTTTAGCAGCGGAGAGCAGGTGTATCGTAAGGTATTTTTTGTATTGTTGTGTAGAAGTGGCTGTGTGGTGGAGAAGCATTGGCAGTGGTTGTAGTAGGAGGTCTGAGTCTGTGATTTCCTTAATCTTTGTGTGTATCAGTTTCCAGTACGGGACTATGCGGGGGCATGACCACCAGATGTGGAGATTGGAGCCAGGGGCGGAGTTACATCTCCAGCATTCTCCAGAGGCTGTGTCGTGCATATGTTTTAGTACCTCCGGGGTCCTATACCATTGTGTGAGTAATTTATAGCTCATCTCTTGGTATTTGGAGCTTATGGGGCATTTGTGTGTTAAAAGAAAGATTTTCTCCCATTCTTGGGTAGTCAAGTGTGTGCCCGTCTCACGTTCCCATTTTTCCGTAAACCCGAGTGGGCTGTCATTGCTCAGTGACTGTAGGCTTGTGTAGAGGTATGATACCGCATGTTCTATATGTTTCCTGTCTGTGCATAGCCGTTCGAAGTCAGTCAGTTGTCTGTGAATGTGGTCTTTGCCCTGTAGGGTCGTGTAATAGGTTTTAACCTGGTGGAAGCGGAACCTATCAAGAGGGGTCGGTTGCTGGGTAGTGATGACGTTGGGCAGTGGCTTGAGGGTCCTGTCAACGATCCATTGGTGTAAGTAGATCCAGTCCGTCTGGAGGAAGTTCCGAAAGGCCGCGGGGGTGAGGCCCCCCGCTAGGTTCGGGTTGTAAGCGATCGGGGTGAGTGGGTTAGGTGATGTGGTGAGTTGGTGGGAAAAGCGCAGCCTACACCAGACTCCGAGGGTGGCGTCAATGAGTGGGTTTTGAGTTCGGAGTTCCGAGTAGGTGACCGATCCGAGCCAGATTCGGGCCGGGATTGCGCCCTGCGACTGCTGGGTCTCCATGAGCACCCATCGTTTGGTGCTTGGGCGTGCGTGCCAGTCAACTAGCCTCTGCAGGTGTGTGGCCTGGTAGTATCGCTGCACGGAGGGGAGCCCGGTTCCATACAAAGCTTCGAATTTCCCGTGTCAGGGTGCGGAAGAATGATTGTGGGATTGTGGTAGGCAGCGTCGCGAATAGGTACAGGAGTCTGGGGAGGACGTTCATCTTCAGCGCTTGTATGCGGCCGAACCAGGTGAGGTATTGCGGGGACCATCTGAGGAGATCCTTTTGGATGTTCGCGAGGAGGGGGGGGAAATTCAGTTGATAAAGTTGCGAGAGGTCGCGTGGCAACCAGGTGCCCAGGTACCTCAGCTTGACCGTTCGCCATGCGAAGGCCAACCCAGCGTCGTCTAGTAAGGGCAGGGCTTCAGATTTGTCTAGATTCAATTTCAGATTAGAGACTTGGTGGTAGTCGCGGAACGCCTGGAGGAGATTAGGGATAGAGATGAGGGGTTGTTCTAGGAAGAACAGCATGTCGTCCGCGTACGCTGCCACCTTGTGTACCTCTGCGTCCAGCGTCACCCCCGTAATGCCCCCGTCCTGTCTGACCACCTCCAGAAATGGTTCTAGAGAGAGGGCAAACAGGAGGGGGGACAGGGGACAGCCTTGGCGTGTGCCATTGCTGATGGGGAAAGCTTGCGTGAGGGTTCCGTTAATACGGATCCGCGCCGTCGGCGTCGTATACAGTGCTGACACCCAGTTGCACAGCTGGGGACCGAATCGTAGGTGGCGGAGAGTGGATGTGAGATATGTCCAATCTACTCGGTCAAACGCCTTTTCGGCATCCGTCGATAGCAGTACAGTCTCGCGTTTCCTGGTTTTCGCTATGTGGATGACGTTGAGTGCACGTATCGTGTCGTCTCTGGCTTCCCTACCCGGAATAAACCCGACTTGGTCGGGGTGGATGAGGTCCGGAAGGATCGGAGAGATCCTTCGTGCCAGGGCCTTGGCAAAGAGCTTAAGGTCCGAATTTAGGAGCGAAATCGGGCGGTAGCTCGAGCAATTAGTCGGGTCCTTACCCTCTTTGGGAATTATTGTGATTGTGGCGGCTAGGGTATCTGTCGGGAATCGTCCGCCTTCGCAGATCGAGTTTAGTCCTGCCAGTAGCCTGGGCAGTAAGATGTCGCTGAAAGTGCGGAGGTAGGAGAGCGGTAGCCCGTCTGGGCCGGGTGCTCTGTGGGGTTTCATGCTTTTCAGGGCTCCCTTGAGTTCCTCGAGCGTTAGGGGTTGCTCCAGGTCCTCCGATTGTTCCTGGGAGAGCGTTTTGGTTATGTGTTGGGCTAGGTAGTCTGAGACCCTCCGTTGGTGTGTCTGTTGGGCTGTCCCGTGCGTGGTCAGTGTCTGGTTGTATAGGTCTTTGTAATAGGCCTGAAATGCGTCTAGTATGCCTTCTGGGTGTCTAGTGCTACATTGGTCCCGCGTGTTTATCTTGTGGATATGTTGCGCCCTCCGTCGTGCCTGGAGCATTTTTGCCAGTAGGCGACCGCTTTTGTTGGAGTGTTCATAGAAGTACCTGGCCGATTTGGCCAGGGTGTGTAACAGCCCCTGAGAGAGGTGGTCCCTAAGTTCTCTCCGAGCTTCGGTCAGTTGAAGGTAAGTGTTGTCGTCTAGTGTTTGTTTGTGTGTGGCTTCCAAGGTGGATACCTTGGATGTGAGGGTATTGATGTGCTTGAGTCTGTCTTTTTTGCGCTGAGTGAAGACGGCAATGTAGTGGCCTCTCAGTACACATTTATGTGCTTCCCAGATCGTCAGGGGGGGTGTGTCTGGGTCGTCATTTGTGTCAAAATATTGTGTGATCGTCTGAAGTGCGGATGCGCGGGAAACCGGGTCGTTCAGCAGAGTTTCATTGAGCTTCCACTGTCTGTCCCTCGGTTTATAGAGGGGTGAGCTTGTGCGAACTTTAACCGGAGCATGGTCGGAGTGGGTCGTGAGGCCAATATGTGCGTCCTGTAGTAGGGGAAGGTATTCTTGGGGCATAAATATGTAGTCAATGCGGCTGTAGCGGTGGTGGACGTGGGAAAAGTGTGTATAGTCCCTGTTGTCTGGGTGTGCGGTCCTCCAACAGTCTACAAGGCCCAGTCCGTTCAGTGCCTTGGTGGCAGACCGTAAGCAGTGTGGTGATATTGTGCTAGTTCCGTGGGATGTATCCAGGTGTGGGTCTAGTGGCATATTCAAGTCCCCTGCTACCATCAGGAGGCCCTCTCTAAATTTGTTCAGTTTGGTTAGGGTGCGGGAGAGAAAGGTGTGTTGGCCGCAGTTGGGGCAGTATATGCTAGCGAATGTGTATGTGTGGTCGGCTATCCAGGGCCAAATTAAGAGCCCAGTGGGCCTGGTGCTGACAATTATGACGGGCCTAATTACAGAGTCATATCGACCAAAAACAATAAAACACTCCCAAGCGTCATGTATGTGATGGAGATGGTGCTGGAGAGAAAGAAAACAGCAGCTATAAGAAAACACATACCTTATGCTAATCTGCCTCTAATTTATGTTTTCATCTTTCAAGTAAATCCATAACCCCTAACAGCAGAGTCCAGTCAAGCAGGAAGTCAATGGGCACGGTAAAAGGGTGTGCCACTGACATAAATCACGTGACCTGCCAAAAGGGGCGAACATGCCCAAAAAGAGGGTATGTCTGCCCAAAGAATTAGAAGGCCAGCCTGGCATGAATGCATGGCCAATCATGCAGCTGGCCAACTAAGGGCATACTATGCAGACAGCACCCTGAGCTTGGCATAAATGCATCTAATTATGCGCTCACTCAACGCTTTCTAAGGACTGTTCCCTAGCACTCGCTGGTCCACTTGTCTCCTTACCTTCTAACTAGCAGGCAGAAGCTCCTGGTATATAGTCTGGGACAGAGAAAAGCTGTATGTAGTGAGTGTAGAAGAAATGGAACATGCCACAGTGTTAGAGAGACAAAAGTCAGCATTACCTTAAATGATCACTATAGGGTCAGGAACACAAACATGAATTCATGACCCTATAGTGTTAACACCACCATCTAGCACCCCTGGGCCCCTCATGCCTCCATAAATATAGCAAAATCTTCCTATATTCAAGCCTGAAGCTGTAACTCTGCATGCTGTTAGACTCATAAAAACAAGCAGTCTGCTGACATCATTAGAAGTGGTGGCCTAATCCAATCACAGTGCTTCCCCATAGGATTAGCTGAGACTGACAAAGAGGCAGATCAGGGGCAGAGCCAGCATGATTCAAACACAGCCCTGGCCAATCAGCATCTCCTAATAGAGATGAATTGAATTAATGAATCTCTATGAGATAAGTTCAGTGTCTGCATGCAGAGGAAGGAGACACTGAAGGTTTGGATGCATTTTAGGCAGCCATGACCCAGGAAGGATCTCTAACAGCCATCTAAGGAGTGGCCAGTGAAGTTATCACTAGGCTGTAATGTAAACCCTGCATTTTCTCTGAAAAGACAGTGTTTACAGCAAAATGCCTGACGGTAATGATTCTACTCACCAGAACAAATTCAATAAGCTGTAGTTGTTCTGGTGACTATAGTGTCCCTTTAACTATATTCATTGTCAGCCAGTCCACACAAGTTTTGTTCCCATACATCCCTCTTAAGTTTCCATACTTAAGTAAGAGTATGTGAAAAGTAGTTAGGGTTGCCACCTTTCTTGGAAAAACATACCGGCCTTACTAATTTGCATAATTAAATATGTATGGGTGACACCACATTATGTAAATCACAAGGAGTGACATAAGAGAAAATTCTGTAAACTCACCAAAAAAACGACTTGATTCTGTTATATAGATGGATTCCTCCCAGTGCCCTCATGACTCAGTGCCCCCATGTGTCGATTACTCCAGGTCTCAGTGTTCCTATGTATCACAGTGTCTCAATGCCTCCTGTGTCCCCATGTATCCCAGGGTCCCCATGTCACTAGGACACTAGGAAGATGGGGATACCTGGGGACACGGGGAGACCTAGGGACATGGGGAGACCAGTGACACTGGGAGACTAGGAGACTCTGGCTGGGACACATGGGGACAATGGGAAATAGGGGACACTTGAAGACATGGGGACACAGACACCAGGGAAACAGACACTAGAGACACTGGCTGGGGGACATGGGGACATTGAGAAATGGGGGCACTGGGAGACATGGGGACACTGAGACACCAGGGCCACAGACACTAGGGACACTAGTTCGGAAACATGGGGACATTGTGACACTTGAGGCACTGAGAGACATGTAGGCACTAGGAGACATGGGGACAGTGAGACATTGGCAGACTGGGGGCACTGGGAGACTAGGGGTCACTGGGAGCCTAGGGGGCACTGAGACACCAGGCACACTGGTTGGGAGACATGGGGACACTGTGTCCCCATGTGTGTGTCATAATGTCTCCCAATGTCCCTTAGTGTCTCAGTGTATGTCTCCTTGCAGCCTTTCCCCCCATCCCTTACTTCCCTGAGCTGTAGGCTGTCTCTGCAAGGTGGGAGTTGCTGTCTGGACTCTCTGTAGCTGCACCCCTGCAGATCAGTGAGTATAGATAGGCAGGGAGGGATATGCTGTAACTTCCTATCCCTGCCTGTCTCCACATACTGCGACCCCTACTGGCCAGTGCTGGTATTGCAGAGTAATCTCTTGTTTATACTGAGAAAAATACCAGCATTTGTATTGCCAGGATCACTGCAATATTGGAACCAGCCAGACAGCCCCAAATACTGGCTGTGCCAATAAAATAAAAGCCGGGTGGAATCCCTAAGAGCAGTGTGGAAAAAAAAATAAAATTTTTTTTTAATTTTTTTTAAATCAATGGGCCTATTCCATGGGCCTGGGCCTGGAGCTGCAGCTCCATCAGCCCCTATGTTAATCCGGCCCTGCGGCTATCGTGCCCTTGACAAAGAGATATCTCCCTCCAGGGTCCGTGTGGGACGCAATATGTTTGAAGGGTACAGTGTGTGCAAAGAGTATCGCTACACCTGCTCTCTTGGCATCCGGGTGGTTGGCGTAGTAAGCCAAACTGAAACGTTTATTTTCTAGTTTAGGTGCGTCTGGGCCCCGAAAGTGCGTCTCCTGCAGGAACGCTACGGACACTCTCTCCGCCTAGAGACGGCGGAGTAGGTGAGAGCGCTTCTCCGGCTGGTTAAGGCCCCTAGTGTTGTTGGACCAATATGTGAGTAGGGCTGGGCTGAACCCCATCTTGGCCTTCGTGGTTTGGTCGGTCGAAGGGAATGGGTCTATTGGGGGGGGGGTAGTTTCAGGGGGATGGGGGGGGTCAATGCAACGTTTGAACCTTAACCGGTTGGTGGCGTTCAGGAGACTGAAGTGTCAGGAAGTCTCGTCGAACTCCGGTCCTATGTACAGGGGAGGTCAGTTGCGCGAGGCGCGTGGAGGGCCACCTACAGAGTCTGTTCCTCAAATATGTAGGTTGTCAGCACCTGTGTCCCGGGGGCTCCCAACCCGCCGTGTTAAGTGGCTCTCGTGACATCCGCGGGTCCTGGGGCACTTGGGGGAGTGTGGGGGGCGGGCCCGAGCCAATCGAGTGCGCATGAGCGCATTTTTGCGTATCAGGTCAGGTCGGTCTGTGGTGGGGGATGGTAGGCGTGGGTCCTTAAGGGATAACTCAGTTATGTGTTGGTGAGATACGTCTGCAGTCTGAGGAAAGAGTCATACAGCATAAATTAACATTGTAACCTTAGCCAGGGGTAAAACCGTGGCCCAACATGTGTATCTTAAACTTATACAAGAGCAATATAACTTGAACACAGTATCCTTGCGGGCAATCTCAGTTATTGTAGCTTATGCGTGAGCTACCCAACTAGAAAATGGCAGTAACACTTGCCCGCATTTTCTAAAACTTGCGGCCCATACCTCCCTCCCAAACAGTCCATTTCTCCATGCCCCGCCCCGAGTGTTCGGTCACCCCCTTCTCGTGGGCTCTCTGTGTGGCTAGTGTCCCCCGACATCCCACCCAGGGCACCCTCCCAAGTCCCAAGGAGCCTTTACAGAGTGATATGAGTCCCTGTTTCATTGAGCAGCGTCCCGACTCCCCAGGTCACATCACACCCAGGGCTAAGATCGTTGAGGGCCAGGCGTGGGTAGGCAAGCGCTACTGTGTGCTAGTGGCAGTTGTTTGGTGTCCCCCTAGAGGCTCGGGTCTGCCTAGGGAGTGGCCCCAGTTACCTGATATGGGAGGTCGGTTGTAGAGCCTCGGGTAGCTATTCCTCTGGGCCGTCGGGGCCGCCTCTGCGCCGTGGTGGTGGTGCAGAGCGTCCTCCCAACAGGTTCTCCGCAACTGGGTAGGGCCCGGTCGGGCGAGCAGGCGGGTTTTCAAGGATCCAGTTCTGTACGTGGATATGTGGCAAACCTGCTGATTGAAGGAATCTAGGGACATCATTGGGCCAGCGTAGTGTGTGCCAGCGGTTGTCAATCTTGGCTTGCAGGCTAAACGGAAAGCCCCACTTGTAGGGAATCCGTTTTTCTTGTAGCATGGTCGTTAGGGGTTTCAATGCCCGTCTGGCGTCGAGCGTGAGAGACGACAGGTCCTGGAACAGCATTACTTGGGAGTCCATGTAAGCGATTGAGCGTTGGGCTCTGGCCGCTCTCATAATGGCGTCTTTTTGCTGGAACGATGTGAGGCAACAAATCATGTCTCTGGGTTGCCCATCACTCCTGGGACCACGTAGTGCTCTGTGTGCTCGTTCCATGGGTATTTCGGGGGGGGCATCCTCACCAAGAAGTTGCACGAAGAGGCCGGTCAGTAGTTCCCTTGGGGACTCGTCGTTGGACTCGGGGAGGCCCCGCACTCGTATGTTGTTGCGGCGGCCTCTATTGTCCAGGTCCTCCACCTGTCTGCGCAGCTCAAGGAGAATGTTCCCCTGCCGTGTGGTTGCCAAATCTGCAGCCTGCTGATGGTGTGTGGCGTGGAGGCGGTGTTCCTCCAATTCATCCACCCTCTGTTCCAGTGCCATGAGATCTCTGCGTACCGCGGCAATTTCTTCCCGGATGACAGAGCGCAATTCTGATACCAGCGCAGTTTTGTCCCCACGGGTGAGCATGTTGGCAGATATTGCAGCCAGGTCGGCTGACATTTGTGTCAGTGCATCAGTGCCAGGCATATCAGTAACAGAGCCTGTCACACTGCTGGAGCTCGGTGAGGAAGGCGCCATCTTGTCCGCGCCACGTGCGCCTCTGAGATGCTGTGGGGTGGACAGGAATTCGTCCATGGGACCGGGTTGTCGGCTCACGGTGGGTGAGGGAGGGTGCCTCGGGGTCCCCGCACGTTTGGGTTTCCCCATGAGGACCGCGCCGTCTGCTTAGGGTCTGGGCTTAAGCGGGTCGGGGCCTGGGAGCGAGTGCGGCGTGCGACTTACTCCATCGGCGGTCGAGCCACGCCCCCAAGCATAATTATTTAACCTAAAATCTCTCGTGCCAAAAGTATAGGATTAGTACAGTATTAAAATGTATAATTTGACTGATACCCAGCAAAGATTTGCCGAAATTGGAACAGACAGAAATGGTTGAGCCGAGGGTAGTTGTCACCGAGGCCTGTACCGTCCACCCTATCCCCCCACCGAGAAGTGTCAATTTTAGACACTTATAATTGGGAAACTTTTTTATTATATTTTATTTATTCTTTCCCCCCCTTTTTCCCTTTTTTTAAAAATTTAAAAAAAAAAAAAAAATTTTCTCTCTCTCGAGATTCGACATATCATTGACCGAGAAGTGTCAATTTTAGACACTTATAATTGGGAAACTTTTTTATTATATTTTATTTATTCTTTCCCCCCCTTTTTCCCTTTTTTTAAAAATTTTTAAAAAAAAAAAATTTTTTTCTCTCTCTCGAGATTCGACATATCATTAGGACTTTCCATCCTACTGCTAGAGAATTCACACATTACTCTCAAGTTCATAATACATATTCTCGAATTGATGGATTTCTAATGTACAGTTCACCTCTATCTCAAGTTAAGACCTGCGAAATTTGAGTATCCACAGAATCTGACCACAACCCGGTGATACTTACATTAAGAGACCAATACAACTATACAAACAAAAGTCCATGGAGATTAAACGAAGAATTATTAAACAACTCAGAATTTACAGATAAAATTCGTGGGGGCCAAGGGGGAGGACATTAGGTCCCCCCCTCATTCTAATTTAGGGCCCCCACTCACCGCTCAGGGGTGGGGGCCAGGGGGGAGGACATAAGGTCCCCCACTCATTCTAATTTAGGGCCCCCACCCACCACTCAGGGGTGGGGAATAGGTCCCCCCATTATTTTACTTTAGGGCCCCCACCCGCCGCTCTGGGGTGGGGGCGGGGGGGGGGCGATAGGCCTCCCTGAGGCTCGGGAGGGGGTACCCATTTTTTATTTATTTTTTTTAAACGGTGAGCAGCCACTGCCTGCTCACTGTTTAATGGACATGCCCTACTTGCAGTATAGCGAGTAGGGGCACAATTTACTAATACTAAGTAATTTTTAATATAAAATACTGTGGGAATTAGGGAGTTATCTACCAAGTTAACGAAATTCCGAATTGCCAAATTGCCGAAGTCCCGAATTTCGTAATGCCGAACCGAACCGAAAAATGTTCTCATGCACATGCCTACTGGTCGTCCTCCATGAGCGCAGCAGTCAATTCGGACTTGTTACGCCCACCAGGAGTTATTCCTCTGGCGCCACACAAGTTCTGCAGAGTAGGTCGCTTTAGAGCACTGTAGTCAATGGGTCTGTTGGCAGGGACATGGGATCTCACTGCTTGCCACCAATTGAAGCGGGACCTGGGTAACCGATGGTTATCCCCTTTAAATAGAATAGGTTGTGGCGGAACCAGCCTCGCCACTGGGCATTGGAGAAAACTGATTGCCAGCCTCCTGCCATGTGACTATGGCCCCTGGGATGTATTGCCTGCTCTCCTGTACTGCTGAGGATTGCTACCAACTAGGTGGATTTGACTATGGAGCTTGTGTAGTGCCCTCTGTTGGTAGCAACAGTAATATGCACTACCTGAATAGCAAGACTGGTAATTTGCATATTCGGGTAGATTTGCATATCGTTTATTCTGCATGCAGGAGAGACATTTTGTGTTAATTATGGTATTCCCCACCCATTTTTAAATATGCAATTATGTTATAATAAGTCAGTGTATGTTGCCTGCTATGATTTGACTGTATGTAATTTTATTGAGTTTTCACAGCAATGTTAATGTAATGACCATATGGGCTAATCCCAAGTAAAATAAAGTTTTAGACAGTTCTACTGCACCCTAAATTTGGAGTGCTGTCTCTTATTGGGGGAATCTGCTACAAGGGATTGCTATGCTTGTCATACTCCCTTGTTAAATCACTACTAAGCTCTTGTAAGAGCTTGTTCCTGTCCTGCTCTCTGAAGGAGTCCATGGTGGTTATGCTGTCGGCTGGAGTGCTTGGAACACTCAGCAACGCTAGGAGCATCCTTCAACGGAGGTACCCAGTCGGGGTGCCAGGTGATCCGTTACATAGGTCAGACCAATTTCCCCAGTAACTCATATGTTTGGGGGACAAACCCCACACCGCGCAGGAGCTGTGGACGGGCATGGAACAACAGACCGATGAGTGGTTGTTGCCACTGAGCCTCAAGCCCGGCCTGGTGGTGTGCGATAATGGGGGAAATCTCGTAGCAGCTCTGGGCCTAGCCGGTTTGATGCACATTCCTTGCCTGGCGCATGTGCTGAATTTGGTGGTGCAGAAATTCCTGAAAAACTACCCAGATATATCAGAGCTGCTGCAGAAAGTGCGGGCCATCTGTGCACGCTTTTGGCATTCTCACCCTGCTGCTGCTCGCCTGTCTGCGCTGCATTATTGTGCAATGTTTGCCTTGTGATATTTTATGTAAATGATTGTAACCCCTTCCCATTTCTTTTTTCTGTAATCTCCCCTTAAATTTTGAAAAAAAAGGAGAAACAATAATATACTAATTGCAAAAAAAAAAAGAAAACCCCAGCGAAACGAAACATTTTTTCCTTTTAGCGAATCTGTTATGGCTTTCCATTTTTTCCCGGCTTGTAAAGTTGCCCATGAGATACCTGGTAATAACTGTATCTTCGTGTTATCTTGAGTCACATTTTGGCGCTGTCTTGCTTTTTTTAATATCTCTTCTTTGATGACGTAAGAGTGTAGACAGCCAATTAGATCTCTTGGTATTTGGTCTGACAGCTTTTTTGATTTTAAAACCCTGTGTGCTCTATCAGTTATTATTTCTGAAGTTTCTTCTTTAATCAGAATTTTATTAAACAGTTTGTGAATAAATCTTCTGGCTTAGTAGTTTCAGGTCCACCTCTTACCCTTAGATTGCATCGTCTGCTTCTATTGTCCATGCCGTTAATCTGCTGCATCCGGTTTTCAATATGTTTTCTTTGTGTAATGGATTGAGTTTGTAGTTTACTCAATGCTAAATGTAATGTTTGTTGGTCTGTTTTTACTATCTGTATTCTATTTCCTAATATCGTTTAAATCCTATTTAAGGGATTTTGATTCTTCCCTTATTAGTTATTTTATTTAATCCACTGCTATTTCTATTAACGTTCTCCATTGCGGAATCCAAATAATTTTTTGTAATTTTCTTATGGGAACAAAATTCCTCCTTCCCCATATTACCATCGTCTTCTGCGGACAACTGTAGGAATCCCATATCTGTCAGCCCGTCCGTGGGGGTCTTTCTTCCCCTGTAGCGTATCTGTTATTGTAGTAATATCTGCAGCTTCATTTTCTTTTTGCCGCTCTTCATATTCCATTCCGTCCAGACGGTTTTCTGTGTTGTCGTCGGCTGTAAATAATCCTCTAGTCGGGGATGTAGCACCAGACACGGTGTAAT